TAATTTTTCTTTCTGTGGGTACAATGTGATGCAGATCAATAAAATGTAGCGAGAATCACATATACCTGTCAAAACAGGAACTAGCTAATACAAATCAGTGTCTAAAACTACTAGCTTTGAATTTTTCTTAAAGCTTTAGCCGTTTGAAAGTAACACAGTCAGTGACGAAGCAGACATACATTGATGTTTTAGGTTTGATGTGCTAAGCAATGTGAGATAGTGTTTATTTAGCCTGTGTGTTAAGAGCAGGAGTGCTGGGCCCAAAAGATGGACCCTGAAGAAACAGAAGAAGAGGGAAGACGTGTGAAGACCTCACCATTTGGTAAACGTGTGAAGGTGCACTCACCTATATAATGCACAAGGAGACAAATGCAGAGACATTAGAAGAGAAGATACAGAAAGGAACAGTCATCAGAAGCAGGAAAGAAGACAGCAGAAGACTTTGAAACAGTGTTTCTCCATTATGAAAGCTCAATGAGCGAGGTGTTGAGTTGATACTGATAAACCCAAAAGTGAAGCAAGGACAAAAGCACGTCTACCAGAAACATGCTGGGTGTGGAAATGTACCCTAGTTTAGCCCTGGGACCTCAGAGACTGAGCGACTGCTATTATAGAGGTAAGAAAGACTTTCACTGCAATCGATGGAAAAATCATAGAAAGAAGCATGAATTTAAGTTAGCATGTGAGTGTATGCAGTGATTTAATGACAAAGTTAGTTGTCATTGACCAGTTAATGACCATTTTGGTTCCCCAAAGTAGTATTATTTTAGTATATTTTTATATTTTGTATTCGTATTTATTTTTCATTTTACTTTTAGAGTTTTAGTGATTTTGCCATTTTTTGCCATTATGATTAGTTTTTTTAATGACTGTATAGTCTACATATGATTTTTATCGCAGTTTTAAGTTATTTTAGTACATCAAGTTAAACTAAATGAAAATGAGAGATGCTTATGCAGCTAGCTGAAATAAAATATATAAACACAACTTCCAGTAACATAAATGCTTAAGGTTTTAGTTTTATTTGAAAGAATGTTTCAATGAACAGTTCTTAAAAGAACCATTTTTTCCACTATAAAGAAGCTTTTATGTAATGGAATGGAATGTTATGGATGTTAAAGGTTCTTCATGGAACCAAAAATGCCAATAAAGAACCTTTATTTTGAAGACTATAACAAGTATAATCAGTGCTAAGAAGAACGAAGTCTCAAATATTTGATGTTTTATAGAGACTAACAGTACATTAGAAGACTTGTAAGACATTTCCTGCACATTTCACTGATAGAAAACTCCCCAAGCCATTGTTAAATGCTTCGAAACTTCACAAAATTAGGCATCTAGTTCTGAAAAGTAAAGGTTCCAAAAAGGAGGGGGTTTGCAGTGATGCCATAGAAGAACCATTTTTGGTTCCCCAAACAACCTTTCAGTGAGCAGTTCTTAAAAGAACCATTTTTTTCTTAGTGTGAAGTACATTTTAACAGTCTAAAGAACTTTTTCCACTGGATACATTCCATGGACGTTAAAGGCTCTTCATGGAACCATCAAGGCCAATAATGTATAGAGTATACTTCTAACATGCAGATGTCACTGTCTGCTTCCTGTTCGCCCATCTATCCTAGATCATGAACCCCCAGCACATGTGCCATTGTATCCTACTACATGTGACATGGCAGCTCGTGGGCTTCCCCCTCGACTGCTGCAGCCACCTCCTGCCACTGCAGAGACTCCTGGGACTCCACAGGACAGTGTAAAAATGGAGCTTGAGAATGCGTCACTGTGGAAACAGTTCAGCACAGTTGGCACTGAGATGATTGTGACTAAGAAGGGCAGGTGAGCACATTTTGAGTATGGAAGGAAATGGTGTATATGCATCTGGAAATGCTAGATTGGAACATTTGGTCAGTTTGCTAAATTTTCATAGTTTTATCTTCTTTTCTTTCTCTGTTCCTCAGGAGAATGTTTCCACAGCTGCGAATGAAGCTGTCAGGGCTGAACCCATCACTGCGTTACATTCTTCTTTTAGACATTTTACCTGTTGATTCCTCTCGCTATCGATTTCAAGACAACAGCTGGCAGGTGGTTGGGGGAGCCGAGGCTCGGCTGCCGGACCGCGTCTTCATCCACCCGGACTCGCCTGCGACTGGAGAACACTGGCAGAACCGCACCATATCCTTCCACCGGGCCAAACTCACCAATAACACTCTGGATGCACAAGGATATGTGAGTAAAATGCATCTTTCAATATCAGTATTCAAATTTGGGTAACACTTTAGTTTAGGGACCAGTTCTCACTATTAACTAGTTACTTATTAGCATGCATGTTACTAGCATATTGGCTATTTATTAGTACTTATATAGCTCACATTAATGCCTTTTATATATATATATATATATATATATATATATATATGGCCATTATGTCTTTGTTAAATAATTTCTCAGTACCTCAGCAATACCACAGCTTTAACGGTAGTTTCCATCTCTCTTTCTCCTAAAGATCATTCTCCACTCCCTACATCGCTACCAGCCACGAGTCCATGTGATCGAGGCCCGTGATGTGCTGATGTGGGGAAGAGCCCAGCACTCTTTCACCTTCCCTGAAACACAGTTTATTACGGTCACTGCATACCAGAACAGCAAGGTGAGAGAAAAATACATTTCTTATATATATATATATATATATATATATACTTAAAGAAAAAAATTCCATTTGTGCAATTATTAAACTAACTAACTAGTGTTTTTTTATTCTTGTTTTCTCCTAGATTACTGAACTGAAGATAAACTCAAATCCTTTTGCGAAAGGCTTTAGAGAGAATGGCATGAACTGCAAAAAGTAAGTTAAACACACATACACCAATATTACCTAATAGTAGACTAATAATTTCGTTTAAACACAAAAACATCTTTAGACATCAGGACTGAGAGCACAATATAAGTTTTCTGTTGTTTTCCTCAGACAAAGAGAGGCAAGACTGAAGAGGAAAATTACATCCAATCAAGAGGAATGTTTGGATATTGGTGAGGATATTGATGACTTGTTTACATCAGAATCTACAACTTTACAAAACCAAGACACAAATGAAATATTAAAAAAATGCATGAGACGTTACCAGTTGTTTTATATATCTTATCACGAAAGAATACTATACTAAAAATGTACTTGGTTTCCCAAATATTGCTTTCTTGCTTTATGACACTATTCTCTCTTTATTCCTCTTTCAGAGTCATGTGACCCATGTGATTCCACTGAGCTCCTATCACAGTTGGTGGAAATTCCAAGCTCCGCCCTCTCCAATATAAACACCGCCCTCCCAATTACAGACTCAGGTTTTCTTACGGAAGTTCCATCCCTCCCAGATCAGACAGTCTCTGACCAACCCCTTGTCCTTGGACAAGAGTTCTTGACCTGTGAGATTCCCTCAATTGAGAATCAACAACAGACAGCCTCTGAAAATAATGTAAACAACACACTGATGGACGGGTAAGTGCTATAACCTCCTGGCTTCATTAACAGCAGCTTTCAATGTTTTTGGGCATGTTTATCAAAGATAGTCTTACTTTTTGTTACAGGTCTGGACAAATGATGGGCCTTTCTGGATATACATCAACTTTCCCAACTCCTCAGCTCAGCTCCTCATCGCATGCATCAGTGCCTTTGCCTCAGTCATCTTCCATCTATTCCATGGTGTCCTCCACACAGAACTCTGGCCTTCAGCTTCCCCAGTCCTCAACGATTTCATCGCCACCCTCTATGTCCACGTATTCCTCTATGCCTTCATCAGACTATCCTGGCCTAAATACCTCTACAACTATGCCCTCCTCTACGACCTCTCCCCCAGGCTCTTCATACGCTCCCATCTCTCCGCACCTTCTCCATTCATCATCCTACCACTCTTTTCTTCCAACAGACCAATCCCAGGACAACCTAAGCCCCCATACACCTACAAATCCACCTTTCCAGTCTATCCCTCCCTCTTCTTGTCAAGGTTCTGGGTTAACTATTGACCCTGGCCAAAATCAAGTGGATGATGGAGGATTAAGCTCATCCAATGCAACAACTCCTGCAGTCCAAAACCCAACCCAAACTGCCTTTCCCTTCCCTCCGGTGCAGTCCTCAAACGACCCCAATCCAACATCCCCTCCATGTCAAAGTCTACCCCAATCTGCTCTAGCCTTTCAGCCAGTGCCACAGTGCAACCCTAACCAAATTCCCACCCCTTCTGACCCAAATACAACTCCAACTGCATTCCCCTTCCCTCCGGCAGCACAGTCTAACTCTATAATGACACCTTCCAATCCAAACCCAATGGGCTTCCCCTTTGCCCCTGTTCAACAGAACCATAGCCACAACTTGGGTACCCCTGGACCTACTCCACCAACTGGTACTTTTCCAGCTTCCCAATCCACATCCATTTCAGGTCTGAGAACCATCCCAGAAATTCCAAACCCAATTTATCCAACAACCGGATCCTTTTCATTGCCTTCCACCAATGTTATCCATCAAGGCCCAATGCAATCAGTTTCCAACACACTGCAGCCTACAACAGCATATGCAGTCCCCTCATTCCCTGCATCTCTGCCCAAACACACTCCTGGGCCTCTCCAAAACCCTGCACCAATTCTCACCTCTCACACATCTTACCCCTTCCCAACTCCTATCCCATCTGGTCCACATCCTCTACAGTGTCTGACTCTGCCCTCATCTAGCTCGATCCATAGTGTCCCTGCGATCCCGAATACAACCCAAATTCAATCTACCCTTTCCCAGTCCTACCCTAATCCCTCCTTCCCTCACATTCCACCCCAAAAGGCAAACCCCTGTCAGATTACCTCCCAGTCTTTTCCCCCAATCCAAACCTCAAGTACCTCTCAGTTACTATCTCAGTTTAATCCCCCGGTTCCTCAAGCCTCAATCCATCCACAATGCCCTTCCTCTTCAAACGCATACCCTGCTGTAGCTCCCACTGAGATAGGCACCTTCTCGCAGCTCAGTTCCGCTGCCCCCTATCTGCCAGATATGGTACTGCACCCTTCCATGCTCCCTTCTCTTGATTCCTCTCTCTCCTCCTCTTCTCCCCCATCCCTTTATAACCCTTTTCCTTCCTACTCACTCCGTCTTTGCCAGGATCCTCGGTCCTCCCTGCATTTACCCCTTAGGCATATTTATAGACCGCCACAGCATGCTCATGCTCATGGTCAGGGCTCTTACTTTGACCTAAGCGGAAGAGCAGTATTCTGAGAATAAAAAGAAAAAAAAACATGTTAGACAAAGTTTGCAAGGAGATTTTGATTTCTGCATCAACCAGCAACTTTGCTCTGAAGATGATGGAAGCACTGCACATTTTATGACTGCATTGGAGGACCTGTGAGACAAAAAGAGACAAACCAAAGCGTAGTTTAAAATGTAAAACTTCTTAGTGTTTACGGCTGACAAAGGTTACAATGTTTTTGTTTTATCCTGACTACTGCTTGATGAGTTGAATAATTATGTATATTTTTCTTAATTCTATTTGTATGCTTAAATGACAAAATAAAGTTTGAATGAGTTTAATTGTATTTTTATTTTTTATAATCTTGTGTGTGTATATACGTAAAAAAAAAAAAACATCCACATTCTATGGTGGACCCAAAACATATTTGGACACTTTAGACACTCTTTAATGTCATTGCATCAGAAACCAAAATTCAAAAAGTGGCATACGCAAAATAATATTGCTAGACCTTTTATCAAAGTCTGTATAAAGACGTTGCACATCCATTAACATTTATACCTTACAACACACCAGTGCTTTTTATTCCTGTCATAAAATGCCAATTATTGACAAATCTAATTTAGTTGGTCAAATAATTAATGAGGCAAACAGTTAACAGTTTAGTTTGCTTTTCCAGATGCTCTATTCTTCAAAACTGTGAGGAAACTATTGAAACTTTTAAAAACTTTTGACAAAAAATGAGGATATGGCTGATGCACTTTGCTGGCCAACCACGGTAACAGATGAGTGACTTGATAGTTAAGAAAGATTAGGGTTAATTCAGGATAACTGGGCCAAAAAGTGTCCCGATTTACCTGAATTCACCCCCTATAGAAAGTATTAGACATGCAAATGATGACAGAACATGAAAGTGAGAACTTAAATTTTTTTTTTTTAAAACAAATAAAACTGACATGTCTGTTCTCTCACACAGTATTAACCATCATCTCTGTGTGTCACTTAGCCTTCAGGGTTGATTCCAGTTCTGCATGACATTTGCTCATGGTCAGGTGTTGAGAGTGGGTGTGGGTTAGAAACTGACGAATGGTCATTAAAGTCCAGGTGATAATTACCTCAAACCCCTCCTTCAATTTCCCACCTCCATTTATTTCTATTTCCTCCTTTTCCATATGGTGTTGGACAAAGAGAGGGTTTAAAATAAGGTTAGGTAAACAGCACTACACTCAAGCACAGGGTGCTGAGAGAGACACCTCAAATAAGCACAACATAAGTGGTTTGATATATTTTAATATAATTTATTCGATGTTATTGTTCACAGTGATCAATAATGGTTTCTGAAGGATCATGTGACACTGTATACTGGAGTAATGGCTGGAATAAATTACATTTTTAAATATATCAAAGAGGAAAACTATTTGAAAATTATTTCAAATTGTAATACAATTTCACAATATTACTTTCCCCCTGCATTTTTAACCAAATAAATGCAGCCTTGAGCACAAGAAACTTCTTAAAGACATTAAAAAGTCTTATTTAATCCAAATAATATGTTACAAAGGCAAACTTTTTTCATTGGAATAATTTTCACTGATGAATTGTGCACAGTAACACCAGGAACATGCATTAAGAAAAGGCTAATTTTAACTTCACGTTCATTTTAATTCTAAATCATCCTCAACGTTCACTGGAAGGATTTTCTATCTGGCGCTTGTGATCTTTTCTTTGAGTCTATGGCACAGCTCCTGTCTGAGCAGATCTCTTTCCTTACGGATTCCCTGGAGCACAGTGCGGTTCTCCTGAGCCCTTCGCACCAGATATGGCAGTGTATCGTCCACTGAGCCGTACGGCACTGACTTATACACTGAGAAACCGTGCTGGGCTGTGAAAAGAACATAAATCTGAGGGTTGACTGGTGTTCCAGAAAGCTAAGATAATGAATTCATTCAGCCCTACTGAATAAAACTGACTTCTTACCTAGAGTAAGAGATACATGGTCACACATGCCCATCAGCTGACCAAAACAGACAGAGTTGCCGTCTCTGTGAAGCCCCAACTCTTCCATGCTGAAACAGAGAAACAACATGCAAATAAACATCACTGATCTTTACACTGCTGATAATCAGATGAATGATCAATGTACGAAGGTGTACCGTGTCACTGCCCGTCTGACTGATTCTTCATTGTGAGTGGCAACAATTATCATATAGCGATCAGGTTTCTCTGAAATGAGGTTCAGCATGATCTCTAGACATCCATTATAACTGCAAATAAAAGACGATATTTAAAAACACAGACCTAAAAAGGATTTTCAGCACTTAAAACACTGAACAGAAATAGATTAGCATTAGATTTTAATAAATAAATAAACCAAGCGGGAGTTACTGTTAATTTATATAAATTTGAACAGATATGCACCCACAAAGAGTAATGTTTTTACTGTAAAATGTAAAAGTAATGTAAAAAAATTTTTTAAAGAGTTTTTGTTGTTGAGTATCATATTTGACATATCAGGCTTTTATGGCTCATATAGTATGATATAATAAGAATGTGGAGCTCATACTCACGGAGGAAAAAAAACACCTTAATTTTATTCAGAGATCTTTATAACAGTACAGCAGATACTTACATAAAATGCATCTAAATATCAGTTGTCACTCCATCTCCCAAAAATATACTCATATTTCTACATGACATTATATACAGTATATATATATATATATATATATATATATATATATATATGTTGTTTTAGTACAGTAAATGTTCATCTTGAAATATTACTAACAATATAAAAGTTATTCTTTTAACTTTTGACACATGAACCACAATTATACTAAAAGGGCTATTACTTGCTAAAAAAAAGTATTAACTATTTATCATATTGATAATTTAGAGGCCTTGCGTATCAAATAAGATACAGTAGGCTTTATAGGGTTAATGTCATTTGGAGTCAAAGAATCACCTGTCATTAGTACGTTCCCATGATTCATGGATTGGATCTGTTCGCCCTTCTTTTTCAGCCAGTTTTCTCTCTTTGTCCATGTAAGCACCTCTGACGAGTTTAACACCGAGACAGAAAGACTGATCAATGGACATCTGAATGGCATCAAGTAACAGATTCCTTGATTCCTGGTGAAGAAACAAAGTATGTCTGTAAAGCCATTAGGGACATAAAATGTGCTTTTTAGACAGAAAGGGCGTTATATTCTTAAATCTTACTAGGTAAAATTGTTTTAAAAAATATATTTTAGAAGAGAGAAATGTTAAGATTTTTTTAATGGCAATGAAAGGTTGGTTGTGGTGACCTTAAGGTAGCACTGATGTGTGTTCCAGATCCAGGCGCTTTGCTGACTGAACTTCTTCATCATTGCCATGGTGATGAGTGACAGGGCAGGATTCATGTAAGTGTACTCAGCATCCACCAGAACACGGACTTTATTAACACTCGCCTATAAACACACAGCATGTCCAGTCAATCCCAGCGTTAACTTTCTTTTTGCTAATTTGTGTTTAAGTTTTGGTACCTCTCCTATTTTGTTGAGTCTCTGAAGGCCCAATAATAAGTGTGTGTTTTCACTCTCAGTCAGACCAGGAAACATGACTTCCTATCGGGTAAAGAGAACACCATCTAAAGCAATACATACTAAATAAGAGCTGATTATAATAACCTTGTGACGTTCTACAGAAAAGAAATAATAATAATATCTGTACCTCTCCCTCCATGGCTCTCACAAGTTCGTTCAGATCATACTGTTCTGTCTTTAGCAGAGACGTCAGCTTAGACTGAGGGGGAATTAATATAATTACTAATACTGCTAGTAACATTTGCGCTTTTAAATGACAACATCGAAAAGGACAGCATCAATCTATCAAATGTACATATCAAAGAACCTTAATCTTTGTCAGTCTCAACTCATATAAAGTGATCTTTATAGATGAAACACTCACACACAGCTCAGGGCTGACTAGTGCTGTGATCTTCAGCTGCATCATGGGATTTTTACTCCAGCCTTTGCTGTGAGACATGTGGACACACTCCAGCATAGCCGCTAGGTTGTCTTCATATCGACGTTCCCTGTAGATAGACCTTTGTGTCATTAAACATATTACATAATTATATAATTATGAATTACTGCTTTGCTACAAATTTAAAATCTTTATTCAGAAAATTCAGAAATGTATAATGTAGAGCTCCACATCCAGGCTCAATGGGTCCCATGGTGCAGCTCAGCCTCTGGGCTTAGAGGGTCTCATGGTGCAGCTGCATATCTGGGCTCACTGGGCCTTGTGATGCAGCTCTGCGTCTGAGCTCAGTAAAGCCTTAAGTATACCTCAGTTTTGACATGAATTCTGGCAATTGGCATACAATCTAACAGTCCAATCAATTCACAATGAACAAAATCAAGTTTTTCTCGTTCAGAAAGCTATTTTACTTAAGAGTAACAGAGTAGAAAAGAATCACAATTTAGTCCTGTGGTGCTGCTCTATCTCCAAGCAGGGTTAACTGAGTTTGTACAGCTGCTTTAACAGCCACTATTCTAACTTAGACAAGGAAACCAGGGTAATGATAATTTCTGGTTTGGCCTCGATAAAACACATCATTAATGCAGCCATCCATTTTCATGAGTTTAATAAAAAAAAGTGTGTTCACTATAAATCTAACAAGTTTACAAAATATGCTCTCATACAGCCAAAAATTATCCAAAATCTGAATACCCAGTGCTCTCTCCCAGGTCCTCTTCAATGGGGACAGCTAACATAGGATGGAGCCCCAGTGATCTCATCTTCTGCATGGAGTCTGCAATCTCACCTTCTGTTTCTCCGGCAACAAACTGAGCGTACACAGATGGGCGCACGACCATGCAGAAACATTGCTTGCCCAAAACCTTCCTTGTAATGGTCATCAGCTTCGTTAGACATGAGATAACAAGAAACATTAGTGTAATTGGATGTTGTCCACAGAGCTCCTGACAGAAAACATCTCCAGGACGCTACACATCATATGACTGTAGCATGTAAAATTTCAAACATCAATCACAGTTATAGAATATGATCTAACCACTTAAATGATACTACATCATATGTAGTCCATTCTATAGACTGTGTCTCTTCCCCAAATAGTGAAAGCAAACAATACATTTACTATAGGACCGAGGGAAGAAGCCTTGGTTATCGAGCCTCTCATTAAGGAACAGCACCATTTTGTCTCTGTAAATGAGGAAGCATCTAATCTCACAGCGGTAAAGTATG